TTTTTGAAAGAAAATGTTTCTCTTATTCTCTAATTACCAAATCCGGTCCGGATTGTTAGGGAAAGAACCTAGTGTTGATATTATCAGTGAACTGTAATTTTCGATTTTCTTTCCTCAACGTTTAAGACATTGTGATTTAAATAATATCAACAAAATTTCTGTGAAAAACCGAAACCGGAACGAAACCGAAACCAAAACCGAAATAAATTTTGAAGAACGAAACCAAAACCGAAACCGAAACACTTGGCAAAACCGAAACCCAAACCGGAACGTTATTTTGAATCGGTTTCATTCCTTGGCAAAAACAATTTATTTCTTCACTAAAACATTTATTATTCCATGTAAAACTGAACATTAATGAAATAAATAAAACTTTATCTGTAATAAAAACACGAATTATGTAAGAATACAAAGAAAAATTATTTAACAGAAACATTGTCTCTTACTCGCTGAAAAGAAGTAATAAAAACTCTCAAAAAAGCAAATTCGCTACAGCGAAAAGACGGTTTGCAAAACCACATAAATTCGAATCCGCATAAAAATAAACCGCATAAAAAGAGACCTAAGTGTAAATAATTTTTTTTTCTTTTTAAAACAATAAATTTAAAAATTACACAAGAGACGTTAATAAAAAAATAAACAAATAAAAAAAAAAACAAACATAAAAAAAGATTCGCTCACTGAGATTCGAACTCGGATCTCTTGATTTGGCGTGCCAAAGCTTTACTCTGTCGACCATTGCCACTGTTGCAGCGCCGCGAGCAAAATGACATACTTATGCTTTTCACGGGGCATGAATAGGCAGTCTATCCCGTCAACTGGTATGATGCTACTGGTATTTCTACTGGTAGCATGCTGATGCAGGAGCGGACAATTGACATCTCCTATGACACCGCCATGTTAAAAATACCAGTCGCTAACATTGAAAAAGGATACAACGTGAACTAGTTGGGCTGAAACGCAAACTGGTAACATTCTGGTTCACAATTGGTAGCTATCCCTGCAGGGAAAGAGCTGCACGAATACATAAAAAACGAACCTTGAATCACTCCTCACAAAAAATGTTAGCATTAACGCCGCATTCCAGCAAATCTCGTGCCTGGGTAACAAAAGGACAGAATCTCATGATTCAGAACAGCAATGAGTTCGCTCAACTCATAGCATTCTCACAGGCAACGATCCACCCTCGACATAATTCGTCAATCAAAGAGTTTGCTTGAGTTGTTGTGAATTAACTCTGTGCAAGAAGGAGGTTGTGTGAGTGAACGATGTTTGTGTGAATTAACAACTGTTAACTCAGCATTCTAGTTATGACTTTGTTCGCATAACGGTTGTTTGTAACAGCCTAAAGGAATCGAGATACATGTAGAAAAATGTACACATAAATGATCAGAATGAAAAGAGAAATCGATTAAGCCATGTCCGTCTGTTTGCCTGTCTGTGCAGACGATAACTCGAGCAAATTTTGAGATTTCACAACGAAATTTGATATGTAGGTGACCCTTTATCCAGGGTAGGTTCCTACTGAAATTGAAATTGCCGAAATCGGACTGTAACCACGCCCCCATCGTATATTTTGAACGGGAAATGTATTCACGCCTTGGTCGAGCACTTAATATTAATATCAGGGAACTTGTTTCTAGACATTTCCCGCAAAATTTCATGGTGGGAGTAAAAAAATAGTCGCCGAAAAAAAAACACCCTAGTGTACATCGTCGTTTAAAGTACAAAACCGCGTATCAACAAAATGCAAAACCGCGTATGTGAGGTTGCAAAAATTATTTTCTAGTGAGTAAAAACACTCATATTTCAAAATGGTTCTCTTTTTAACCGACTTCCAAAAAAGGAGGAGGTTATCAGTTCGTCGGAATATTTTATTTTTTATTTTTTTTTTATGTATGTTACCGCATAACTTTGGACCACGTCAACCGATTTCGATAATTCTTTTTGCATCGGAAAGGTAGTGTCTCAGAGGTGGTCCCATACTAATCTGGTTAAGATCCGATCAGCGGATCATGAGATATATATATANTAGTATCTTTCAGGACGAATGGGTAAGGATGGAGCCAAGAGCTTGTGTGAGCAAATCCAATTTTTGGCATCAAATGTCAGTTACGCTGTTTTGAAGAATGACGATACCCGGTTTTGTACTTTAAACGACGATATAGAAAAAAGTATTTGAGCAATTTGAGTGAAATGTTCTCAAAATTTAAAACTTTTTATTCAGAATTCAAAAATTCTAGGTATGTAGTTTTGTATCATATTAAATTTTAGTACAATAAGGTGCCAGTTTGAAGTAGCTTGACTCAAGGCCCGTCCACATAGAGCTTTGGCGTTGCGTTGGGTTGGCGTTGCTTCAACAGCTGACTATGAATACATGAATTCAAATGCAGCCGTCCACATAGCTAAAATTCGGCAACGCTCACGCCTACACAAAGCAAACAGATGACGAACTCTCATCTTTTCGCGTGCGTCGCTAGTCAGCTGTTGCAAATAAATAAAATTACGTGAAATATTTTTCCTTTTTAATCAATTGCGGGCAAGAAATATCGTTTTTAATGCAATTATTGATATGAAATATTAATTTATCTGTCGTTAGTATGTTAATTTAGTGACCCAAACATTTGCTGCCAAGCGTTCATTGTAGCAAGCATACTTTTAACGTGCGTTCTGTCAAACCAACGCCAATGCCAAAGCCAACGCGAAAGTTCTATGTGGACCGGCCTTGATTTTTGCCTTTTTGCTTTTTGTTGAGCGTGTCAGCAATTTTCTTCCATACAAAGTGTTTATATGGAAAAAATATACGAAACCTGCAACAAAAAAAAATTCCCAAAAATTAACTAACTATTTCAAGCTTGCACTTATTGTATTAAAATTGAATGTGCGGGAAATGGTTTTTTCATTAAACATTTTTATTTTTGCGAGCGCCACAATTATTTTTTTGTGACCGACAATGAAATTTTTATATGGGACCGAAAGAAAGAAATTAGTATTTTTATTTGACACAGTCTAATACACTTTTATGCTTACAAACATATATACGTGCTTGTTCATTTCGACCAAAGAGCAGTTGAGTTGAAAAATAAAATCGTGTCGCAATTGGATCGATTGAATTGAAATGAAAAGCATCATATAATACTATAATTATTTTTTAATTTTAGCTTATTCGAAGCTATTAAATAAAATTAAAGCAATTCACTTATGTACGCAACAGAAAGATACATATAAACATAATTCATTTATTGGAAAATAAAATGTAAAACATTTCAGTGTTCTGGAACTTAAAACTATTTATAAAATAGAAACAAAAAATCTTATTTAAAAAACTAAGTCTTTCAGTAATTTAATGATATTTAGAAAAAGTTGAGTATCAAAATACATTAAAACTAAATAAATAAAACTCCTAAAAATAATTAATTAATTTACATATTCGTATGTAAAAACATTATTTTGCCTACCGAAACAGGGCTAGACCCTAAAACACAACGCTTTTCAGAAAGCAAATTTTTAGCACTTGAGAATATTCTCTCAGATGAGACACTACTTGCCGGTACTGCTAAGATTTCTAAACTCAACTTAAAAAGTATTGGAAATTTCAGCTTATTTAATTCCCACCACTGTAGAACATCAAAATTATCATGCATTGCTTCGTTAACATTTTCGTATAATAGTAATTCATTTTGAACACGATCAAGATTGTTTGTTGGATTTAAAGGCTGAAGAAATCCTGAGAAAAGACGTCCCTTATTGTTTGAAAGAGGATTCATTGGACTACTTTATTATTGCTAAGATCTTGTTCAATAGCTAAGGCTTCTAACATGATTTTGCAATATTGTTTAACATAATTCTTTTCTTCGTTTGTGAAGTGTAATAATTTGTTGGTTGGTGGGAACAAAAATAAAGCAATTTTGTGAAAAATAGTTAGGTTTCTAATAACCACATCATTAAATAATGTCGTGAGTTTAAAATTAACCGATGTTATGCTTTCGAATTCGTCATTAGTATTTGTTTCACAAATTCGTTTTAAAAAGTAAACATGCACAATAACTAAATGTAGGGTAAGGTACCTATCCCCTTCTAACTCTTTCGAATATTCTTCGAAATTTTTTAAAATATTTATTATATCTGATAAAATATTTAGGTTGACGTTACTCATTCTATGGTTCTGTCCTGTTTTCTGCAAAACATTTATAATTTCTATCTAATTTCTTTCCACTGATTGCAATAAATAATTTATTTATTTATTTATTTATTCAATCAGTAGTAATCTAGAATAACAAAGTTACTTACAGCCTACTTAGAAATAGAAGGAGTTATACATTAAAACTCATTGCATTTAACATNTATCTAATTTCTTTCCACTGATTGCAATAAATAATTTATTTATTTATTTATTCAATCAGTAGTAATCTAGAATAACANACTAGACCCTAAAACACAACGCTTTTCAGAAAGCAAATTTTTAGAACTTGAGAATATTCTCTCAGATGAGACACTACTTGCCGGTACTGCTAAGANAAACACAACGCTTTTCAGAAAGCAAATTTTTAGCACTTGAGAATATTCTCTCAGATGAGACACTACTTGCCGGTACTGCTAAGATTTCTAAACTCAACTTAAAAAGTATTGGAAATTTCAGCTTATTTAATTCCCACCACTGTAGAACATCAAAATTATCATGCATTGCTTCGTTAACATTTTCGTATAATAGTAATTCATTTTGAACACGATCAAGATTGTTTGTTGGATTTAAAGGCTGAAGAAATCCTGAGAAAAGACGTCCCTTATTGTTTGAAAGAGGATTCATTGGACTACTTTATTATTGCTAAGATCTTGTTCAATAGCTAAGGCTTCTAACATGATTTTGCAATATTGTTTAACATAATTCTTTTCTTCGTTTGTGAAGTGTAATAATTTGTTGGTTGGTGGGAACAAAAATAAAGCAATTTTGTGAAAAATAGTTAGGTTTCTAATAACCACATCATTAAATAATGTCGTGAGTTTAAAATTAACCGATGTTATGCTTTCGAATTCGTCATTAGTATTTGTTTCACAAATTCGTTTTAAAAAGTAAACATGCACAATAACTAAATGTAGGGTAAGGTACCTATCCCCTTCTAACTCTTTCGAATATTCTTCGAAATTTTTTAAAATATTTATTATATCTGATAAAATATTTAGGTTGACGTTACTCATTCTATGGTTCTGTCCTGTTTTCTGCAAAACATTTATAATTTCTATCTAATTTCTTTCCACTGATTGCAATAAATAATTTATTTATTTATTTATTTATTCAATCAGTAGTAATCTAGAATAACAAAGTTACTTACAGCCTACTTAGAAATAGAAGGAGTTATACATTAAAACTCATTGCATTTAACATTGATTTGAAATCAGACATAGATATAGAAAAATCAATAGCTAGAGAATTTGAGAGAATATTGAACTCAGTAAGAGCTCGAAAAATTGGAGCATTAGTAGCGTAAAGAGTTCGGACATATTCTGTATAAAAAATATCACTATTTCGGAGTCCGGTAAGGGATATGGAAACAAATGCGAGGAGATATGGTGAATCAATTACACCCTTAATAATATCGAATACAAAGGTGAGCGAAAGGATAGTTCTTCTGCTTTGAAGAGATTTCAGGTCAATTAGCGCACACCTGGCTTTATATGAGGGAATAGGGTCGGCGAAATTCAACGACCGCATAGCAAAGCGTAAAAACGAATTTTGAACCCGCTCGAGTCTATTAATATGGCATCCATGATAGGGTCTCCAGATAAAAGAAGCGTATTGCAACTTAGAGTGTACCAGCGACGTGAACAGTAACTTAAGAGTATAANAAATAATGTCGTGAGTTTAAAATTAACCGATGTTATGCTTTCGAATTCGTCATTAGTATTTGTTTCACAAATTCGTTTTAAAAAGTAAACATGCACAATAACTAAATGTAGGGTAAGGTACCTATCCCCTTCTAACTCTTTCGAATATTCTTCGAAATTTTTTAAAATATTTATTATATCTGATAAAATATTTAGGTTGACGTTACTCATTCTATGGTTCTGTCCTGTTTTCTGCAAAACATTTATAATTTCTATCTAATTTCTTTCCACTGATTGCAATAAATAATTTATTTATTTATTTATTTATTCAATCAGTAGTAATCTAGAATAACAAAGTTACTTACAGCCTACTTAGAAATAGAAGGAGTTATACATTAAAACTCATTGCATTTAACATTGATTTGAAATCAGACATAGATATAGAAAAATCAATAGCTAGAGAATTTGAGAGAATATTGAACTCAGTAAGAGCTCGAAAAATTGGAGCATTAGTAGCGTAAAGAGTTCGGACATATTCTGTATAAAAAATATCACTATTTCGGAGTCCGGTAAGGGATATGGAAACAAATGCGAGGAGATATGGTGAATCAATTACACCCTTAATAATATCGAATACAAAGGTGAGCGAAAGGATAGTTCTTCTGCTTTGAAGAGATTTCAGGTCAATTAGCGCACACCTGGCTTTATATGAGGGAATAGGGTCGGCGAAATTCAACGACCGCATAGCAAAGCGTAAAAACGAATTTTGAACCCGCTCGAGTCTATTAATATGGCATCCATGATAGGGTCTCCAGATAAAAGAAGCGTATTGCAACTTAGAGTGTACCAGCGACGTGAACAGTAACTTAAGAGTATAAGGATCTGTGAAATCTGAACTAAATCGACGAATAAAAGCAAGAACTGAATATGACTTAGCAATGGTGTAATTTAGATGACTATTAAATAAAAATTTCGAGTCAAAAACTGCACCTAAGTCAGTTATCTCACTAAGAGTAGATAGACGGGTACCAGCAATGCAATGAGAAGTGGGGATAACGTAACGCGATTTGGAGTAGGATAAATAAAAACACTTACTTATGTTTAACTCAAGGCCATTGGTTCGCCACCAGGCTGAGACATTGTCAAGGTCTGATTGAATCTTAATGGAGTCTGAAGAATTTGAAATGGTCGAAAAAATCTTTGAATCATCAGCGTATAAAAGGAAATTAGAGTTAACAAAACAACTCGATATGTCATTAACAAAAACGACAAACAGGAGGCCTAAGATGCTGCCTTGTGGAACCCCAGACGACGCTATGAAAGAGTTGGAGTGCATATTGTCGACAACGACTACACAGTTTTGATGCTGAAGATAGGATTTTATCCAAGATAAAAATAGTGAATGAAAACCCAAACTAGCTAATTTAGGAATCAAAATTGAATGGCTGACTTTTTCGAAGGCTTTTGAAAGATCTGTATATACCAGGGACGTGAACCGGTTTTGAACCGAACCGGTTTTNCAAAAATGACAAACAGGAGGCCTAAGATGCTGCCTTGTGGAACCCCAGACGACGCTATGAAAGAGTTGGAGTGCATATTGTCGACAACGACTACACAGTTTTGATGCTGAAGATAGGATTTTATCCAAGATAAAAATAGTGAATGAAAACCCAAACTAGCTAATTTAGGAATCAAAATTGAATGGCTGACTTTTTCGAAGGCTTTTGAAAGATCTGTATATACCAGGGACGTGAACCGGTTTTGAACCGAACCGGTTTTGAGCCGGAAAATCGCTTTTTTCTATTAATTAACTGAACCATTAACCGAACCGAAATTTTCCACAAATGTTTGATCCGAACCGAAAACCGAACCACTTTCCATAACGGTTTAAAGGTTCGTTTCAACCAATTTTCAATAGATAAATATACTCACTTTTTTTCTTTTTGTTAAACGTGGTAATACCTACCATGTTTGTTTACCATGTGACAATATATAATGTAAAGGCAACCCATCTCATTTGACAGACACTTGACCCTGAACCTTGCGCGTTGTTGCACTTGACACTCGACACTTAAACTTGCGCGTTATTTTTTTGTTTTTAACCGTTGAACCGAACNTGTTAATATGTAAATTAATAGTATTGAAAAAGGCTTGTTATTCAGTGTGCGATATATAGTGCATATCATACCTATATGACAAGTTTTAACTATAAATTTGTTGTTATCTTGTACGAAGTTAAAAAAATACAACAAAATTTCATAAAAATTTCACACTTTTTCGGAATTTTCATGAATTGTTTGGGTGTGCAGTTTTATATCCCATTCAATACTAGTATAATAAAGTGCAAATTTGAGGTGGGCACAAAATACCATCAATTTTTGATATTGTTTTTATCGTTGGTACCACACATTTTCTTAAATACGATCGACAATTTTTTATATGGAGAAGAATGCACAACATCGTCACCAAAAAAAAAGTTGCCAAAAATCATTGATAGTTCGTAGCCACCTCAAACTTGCACTTTATTAGCCTAGAATTGAATGGGATATAGAACTGCATTTATGTATAAGATGCGCTATATCATATAGATTGTCTATATTTTTTGATACAGTTGTTGGATGGGGTAATAACTGATGAATATCTACGTTCGGCCCATACCTAGCTCCAATTGAAAGCATTAGGTCCGTATATTTGATCAAGCCTGCCTCTTCCACCATTTTAAATGGTCTGCAATTTTTTATGCCCCATTTGGCAAATTTATCAATAAAATTTTTTTTTGTATGATGCTCAACTTGTATCTTTGGCTCATCTTCCGAACGGTTCTTTAAATTTTTATAACATTTATGTTTCACAAGATTTGACGTGCTATTCGTAAACTTGAAAACGCTGTTACAATTTTTGCATGCCACAACATCTCTTATCACACTGCCACTATTTTCAACCTTGCCAAAAATTTTCCAAACCCTGCTTTTTCCAGTTTCAATGACAATTGTGTACTCCCCTTTTACAATCTTATCCTTAATTTCATTAAATTGTTCCCTCAGTTCAGGAATAGAGCGGCTTGACGTTGGAGATTCATCCAATGTTACCTGTTTTTGTAAGCATATGTAGAAACACAGGTTTACAATGTATTACAATATGGCAATTGTTAATGAAAAATGCACTGATATTTGCTGTCAATCACTTACATCCATTATTTTTGAGGAAATATATCTGATAACAAGTGCGCTCGGGTTGTGTGTATTGAAACAAATAGCTGCATAAAAATTCTACTTTGTTTCATCTCCGAATTCACAAACTAAATGACAAATTCAAATATTTACT